TGCAGGGGTTGGATGGTGCACTGGTCAGCATCTTTTTTTTTTTTTTTTTTTTTTTTATTCTAAAAAAATGTGTCATTATTTGTTAGTGTGTGTTTGTGTGTTAGAGATGATTTTTCACCTCTGTGTATGAATTTTGAGAGCAGCAAAAACGAGACTTTTTTTTAAAAAAAGGGAGTGAAACTGTACACCAGTTAGGCGTTGGCCCCAAACAGACAATGTAAGCAAGCAGCGCACTGTCACAAGCTCAGGTGGGTTTTACTACAGAAAACAAATGGTCTGTCAACCCAAGGACTGAAAACAGGAAGAAATAAATGCTCCCTAGTTATAAATGTAAAGATATGTTTCTTTTCTTAATGTTTTTGTAAAACAAAAACCAAAAAAAAAATGCATTTCTTGCTCATTTTTTTCCACTTAAATCTAATTACAAAATCTCAAAAAAATAGTGGATCCTTTTGAGCAGCTTTAAAGAGCAACACATTCAGCTATTGTATTATTAATTATTACTATGACCATATTGGAGAGGAGGGAAAGCTGAGTTTGTTTGATGGTATTTGACATGGAAACTGGGCCTATCAGGCTTTTTTATAACAACTTGGTTGTTCAGGACAATCAGAAGGTTTATCTCTTGGTATCATGCCTAAGTGTTTGTTTTTTTCTCAGGTAAAAATGAAATAAGAAGGAGCGTAAACATCTAGATTTACTGTAAACAGCCAACTTCAGGGGAACATCGGCCGCCTCTTGCACGTAGCAGCTGAGTCTTATTCCAAAGTTCCCCTTTACTCCGGTTTTAGTGCTCAAATGACATATCTTATATCCAACAAATACCTAAAGAACATCAAATTTAAGGAATCTTCATTTATTTGTAATTAAATTTTCACATTAACATCGTCTACAAAGGAGGAAAGAGCTTTAAGGGACTTGATCTATAACATACAACTTTTAAACGACTTTCAAACCTAAACAGCTTCTTTAATGCTTATCAGAAAACATAACAAACACTTAATGTTTTTCATAACTCATTATTATTTATTGATGCATTATAACTGATACATTATTCTGTAATTAATGAATTAATGAAAGAGATAGATATCTTATTTCAAAAACCCATGATAGTCTATAGTTTAGAGATATTGTGTATAGTGTTTATGGTGTCAAAAATCAGTAAAATAAGCAACAGAAACCGGTTAAATACACAATTATAAATAGATAAGGTTTAATTAAAGCAGTTTCCCCCTTCAGATACAGAATTTTTGAACTTCTAAGAAAACAAAAGCAATAATTTTCCAAGGTGTCCCAAGATTATTGAGACAGGTTATTGGTTAAGCAAAAATCATACAAAAGGTTATTCAATTTTTATTGCTAAATAAACTAAAAATGTTTTTAGAAATAAGAAATACTTTATGAAATAACAGTAAAATGTAAAGATAATATTAAAGAAATGAAAAAGCAGTTTTATTTCCACTCTTGTCGTCGTCCTTTTAAAGACATCGCCCTAAAGATCTCACAAGATGGAAGGGATGGAAAAAAGTTACAGCTGCCAACCGTTTCGACAGAAGTCATTATTATTTTTTTTAGGAACAGGTTCTGTCACAGAAAAACAACAGCAGCAAAGTGCTGTTGAAACGCAGGAATGCAGCAGGTTTAGGTGCGTCACCTTCGAAAGGTCGGTCGGCCAATGACAATCCAAGCAGCAGAGTCGTCCCACTGGACGAGCCTGTATCGCATCTTTCTGTTTTTTCCCAGAGCAAAATCTGCGTTGCGATGGCTGAGATTTGTTGCACAATCGTTGAAAAGCCTGAACAACTAGTCCTGCAGATAAACAACCTACCCACAGTTGATTTGTCATAGTCATAACCTGTTTGTCGGTTTTTACCAAAGCTGAGATTTTTAGTTCCTGGCCTGCTGAGCAAATCATTACATCTACTATTTTAGATATTCAATGGTTTAGTGAGAAGCTTATTATCTAATTAACTGCATGGGAACTATATAGAAAACAAAAACATCATCCCTTTAATAAGTGATCTGACTAAAATGGCCCGTCCTTTTCACAGTAAGCGTGCAGTCTTGGTTCTCCAGAACAAGCAGGGGTATGGAGGCCAACGTCGTCCCTTCACCACAGAGGATGAAGTCTGGAAGTCTTTTCTGGAGAACCCACTGACAGCCGCCACCAAGGCCATGATGAGCATAAACGGAGACGAGGACAGCGCCGCAGCTCTCGGCTTCCTCTATGACTACTATGAGGTGAAAATAATTTACGTTCTTTAATATGCGCCGTGTGATAGGTAAATAGGTATTAGGATCTATGACACTATGTAAACGCCTGACCATTTGGAAACATCTGTGAGGGAGAGCTGGAGTTTGTAACTGATCTAGCTGTTCATATAGGCAGCAGGATGACCCGTGTTGTTGGCTGTGATGTGGTCAGACGCTGAGCGGCTGTGTTTACCTTCGTATGCAGGTGCCCAGGGAGAAGAGAACAATACAACCCAAGACAGAGTCGTTGGTCTCTGATGTGGATCCAAGCAAAAGGTGAGCGACAGACCTCTTCTAATATAACCCCCCCGCTCGCTGCCAAACACACACACACACATCCCTACAGCAGAGACAGAAAAAACACATTACACTTTCTCCACGTGTTTGTTTTTAGAAAAACGTTTTTAGAAAAATCTAATAATGTTTTTGATTAGTCCAACTTTATCAAACATTTATTGTCACAGGATGGAGCTGATCACTTATCCTAAAGTATCCCATTAAGTTTTCCAGCCTTTGGAATCACTGTTAGTGGGTCTTTTTACTGGTTGGGAATGAATTTTACCCCCTTAGACTAAGATTTATTTTCCATCCATCCATTCTCACCCTCTTATTCACGGTGGCGGTGGGGCCGGTGCCTACCTCCGGCCGTCTATGGGCGAAAGGCGGGGTAAACCCTGGACAGGTCGCAAGTCTGCCTCAGGAGATTTATTAACTGAATGCATTATCTCCTTTTCTATTGCTGAACTCTTTGATCCATCAGTTATAGCAAGTCAGTCAGGTCCTGAAATAGCACAGCAGGCCCAGATCTTCCTACTACCACCACCATGTTTGACAGTTGGTATAACTTTAACAATTTTTGGGGTGGTTTTCCTACTTTAGTCTACTTTTGTCTCATCAAACCACAGAACATTTTCTCAGAATAATGGAGATCATCAAGATCAGCAGTAGTTTTTGCCTTGGAACTGACTCACTGAGACCATTACTCTCTTTCTTATTTTTGACTTTGACTAAAATTTGTGATGCCTGCAGACCCTGAGATGTTGCTCTGGTTTTCCTTAATGCTCTCTTTGGTTGGCCACCACTCCTGGGAAGGGGCACCATGTTTTCTGTTTGCAGATGATGGTTTCCACTGATTCCCTCCAGTCCAAAGAACTAAGAACTTTACAATGATGGATGTTAATGACTTGGTTTGTGTCTGTTAATGAATGTCCTTAGTACAGGACATGAAGCGTTGCTTTTTGGGGTCTTTTAGCCTGCTTTATGTCTTGGTTGGCATCAAGCATGAGTGGAGTTTTCAAACTGAACTAACCTTTCCAAAAATGTGATGAATAACAGTTGACTAAATATTTAACTAGGGGTTGAATACTTTTTGTATTGAAGCAAGTTGATTATTGGTTTTTAACTGATAAATTAAATCACATTTTTTAACCTTATATTTTCTGCTATGAAAAGTTTTGTGACATTCTGAAATGTTAGCATTTGGCATAAAAATCTATTTATTTAAAGAAAACAACTAGATCAAAAACTTTTTAAAAAGTGTAATTAGGCCAGTCCTCAGAAAATACAGCAGCGATCTGTTTCTGCACTGCAGGCACCAGATCCAGGCCCGACACCCCATGGTTCCTTTGCAGGACGGTGTCATGGAGAACAGGATCCAGGTCCTCAAAGCACCAGTCAACATTCTCCAGCTTGCCCAGGACAAGAGGGCTCACTTCCCTTCACCAGGTCTGTCTACACACATTAAGGAAGATGCATAGAGGCATGACGTAAAAAGCCTCCAATTTACTGGATGCTCTTCTTCCAGACACGACCGTCACAGTCTCCATCGCCACAGCACCAAACTACACACCTGTGAAGACAGAGGTGCCCACACACGGCTTCTCCGTCACTGTGCCCAACAACTGCAGCGAAACCGAGAGTCATGTTGGCGTCTTCGAGCGCCATCTCGCCCAGAACGTGGTGCAGTGCAGCCCCAGCACCCAGTCCCGCACTCCCCCTGACTCCACCTTCACAGAGGGCTTCAAGGATGGTTCCCAGGAGGTGAGTGTTTCTATCCCCCCTCCTTCCAAATGCTTAATGGTTTCCCTGCTGCCACCCTCCCCTTCTTTCCTTCACCTCTTCATTACTTTCTCCCACATCCCTCTCCTCTGTCAGATCTCTCCCATCGAACAATGGGATATTCACCTGATCCCACGGAGCCGGCGGTGGGCTCAGCCTTCCCTGGTTTTTATTTGAACATGCCAAAATAGTGGCCAGTGTGTTATTATGTCATTGTCTCACCAACACAATAAAGTGCTGTACTTTTCTCGTACAATAGCCAGAGTCTTTTCTCCCTCCTCTTTCTCTATTTTAACCCTGAGGGGAATTACCTCAGAAAAGAGGATCCCAACAAACCTTTCCGCGACACGGCGTGGATGAGGGAGTGAGGGGGGCTTTTCAGCCAATAAAAAGAAAACGAAATATAGGCAGAAAGAAAGAACAGCAGAAACAAAAGATGGACACCAGAATATTAAACAATGATTATTTACTCAGGTTTTAATCTGATAAATAAAATCTAGTGTGTTTCCTTTGTTTTACTTCTTTCTTTTTTGTGTGTTGCAGATGTTTGCCTTCCCAGGAGATATCCAGTTACGCATGGCCACCATGACACCTGAAGAATACCCTCCGTTTGACACAGTACCAGGGTAAGAAGCACATAATAATTTTAAGGCCAGTTTATTAACCCATTTTTCTATGAAACAATTATTCTATGCCAATTTGAACCTTTTCAAGTTCTTCTCCAATGACTATAACTTTCTGTTCTTAAATAGTTCCTGCAGCCTTCATGTAACAATTATCTATACTAGGAGCAGATATCACACTGTGTGTGTCTGGTGAAAAGTTTGCTTTTAAACTGAATTTTTCTGTATAGTTAAAAGCTCCGTCTATAGAGCTAGCTACCTGAAGTTCACAAATCTATCAAACATGCTTCTCTAAACATAAAATAGATCATTTCTTTGTGTTGAAAATGTGAGACTGGGTTTTGGAAGAAATTTTAAGCAACAGTAATAACGTGCAAAGCAAATTGAGCTTCAGCAGAAACAGTGTTTATCTCATTTAGGAAATATGCTAACGGAGAAAACCTGATGCCGATGATAAGAGCTCGAGTTTGTAGCTCAACAAATTTTCTTGTGCTTAAAGCACTAAATTGCATTCTTACATCCAGCATTAGACAGAATGATAAAGAGGAAATGCGCTACACATGACAGGCATGACATAATTCGAAAATGGTAGGATTTTTTTATTTTTTTCGACTAGCGATTTAAAGGTCAGGTATGTCAAGCTGAAAATGGTTTTCTCTCATCTGATAATTTGTCCTTCTCTATTTTCAATGTATTGCTTCACAAAAGCGCACAACTCTCAAGGGAGACTGGTCTTCTGTTCTCGAGAAAAAACATATCCACAAAAACATACAAATAACTAGAATAGATTTATTTACAGTGTCTGTTAGGGTTCAAGTAAATATTTCTGCATGGATTGTGTGAAACAAAATATTCTAAGTTTTATATACCTAATGCCTTATGTCCTGTTTACCTTTAGGAGTAACTTTGAGTACTCACTTGAGGCATCCAAATCTCTGCGTCAGAAGACCGGTGACGGGACCATGACGTACCTCAACAAGGGACAGTTTTACCCAATCACACTCAGGGAGGTTGACAACAAGAGCATTCAGCAACCCATCACAAAAGTCAGGGTAAGAACGATCAGACATTCTACATGAAGCAAAAAAAAAAAACAGCTATTGCTCACTGTCCATGTTGTTTACCAACAAATCGGATTTTATTTGTTCCCTTTTCAGAGTGTAGTGATGGTCGTGTTTGGGGAGGAGAAATGCAGGGATGATCAGCTGAAACACTGGAAGTACTGGCACTCCAGGCAGCACACGGCTAAACAGAGATGTCTCGACATTGGTAAGAGTTTCAACTAAAGATCTTTGGAAAAGTGAGGGACAGAAATGTCAACGGTTTAAGATTCTCTCTGCTAAAGCTCCAAAGATGAGATAAGCCTATGTTCTGGTAAAATAGGAACCGGAAACCAGTGTCTGAACCTTCAATTCTTCTAATAAGCTCTATTTATGCAGCTTCTGCATTTCAGTAAAAATGCAAATGAATTAAACAAAAATTGAAGTTTATTTTTTTTGTTTGTTTGTTTTTTATAAATAATAACAGCCTGGTAACTTTTTAATGATGGTTATGAAAACATTTTTACAGCTTTGTTTTAGGTTGAATTCGGAGATTTTACTCCTTCCTTCCTTCCTTCCTTCCTTCCTTCCTTCCTTCCTTCCTTCCTTCCTTCCTTCCTTCCTTCCTTCCTTCAGTATCATTTGTTGTGTCCTTCCTTACATGCATTCATTTTCCTTTATGCTTTTTTCAACTTGTAATAACTTTTTTGTGCCCTTCTTTGCTTCCCAAGTGACTTCCTTTTATTAATTCTTTCCCTTTTGCATTCCTAATGTTCCCCCTTTCCTTCTATCTTTTCTCCCTTGTGTCCCTTTCTCCTTTCTTGATTATTGCCATCTCTTCTTTTAGCTTTATTATTTTTCTATCCTTTCTTTTTGATCTCCTCTCTCCTTTTTTCTTATTTTTATTTTTATTTTATTTATTATTCTTTACTGTGTTTGTTCCAGATTGAGAACAAAGAGATCAAAGTGATCTTAAGATCTGCATAATTTCATATTTCAAAACTAACACAAATGTCTGTGAATTTCATCTTTTTATTTAAAAAATATGTTAAACCCCTAAATCATGGAGCAAAAAAATGTTTCAACTGGACAGAGGAGATAATGACTGATTTACAAACATGCTGAGGATAAAAACAGACACATTAAACTATCCTTCAATTTTATTCTTAGAGGGGTCAATTACATTATCCTATACTTATCATCATCAAAGTGGATTAATTTGAAGCTTAAGCTGAATCTAGTCATTATTTTGCCACCGCTGCTTGATTAATAAATCTTTTTTTTTTTCAGCCGACTACAAGGAGAGCTTTAATACAATCGGCAACATTGAGGAGATTTCCTACAACGCCATTTCCTTCACATGGGACACAAATGAGGAGGCCAAAGTAAGACAGTGAAATTAACACTTAAACACAAAGAAGAAAAAGTGACGATAGATATTTGTTGTAATAAACAAACTTTTATTTAAACCTAAGCCAGTCTTTAGTTTAATGTGCAGATCCTTCTTCCAGTGATCATCACAGATTCCCTAATCTGCTTATAAAAGCAGGCAGAACAGAGAGTCAGAAACGATCGAGCTCCACAGGTTAATAAGCATAGTTTGGACCACAGTGCTGATCAATAAATTGCTGTTTGACTGATGGGGAAACAGGCAGAAAGAAGGAGCCCTCTTTACATTTCAAACTGTCTCTAACAGTCTAAACAGACAACTTGTCATCTTTTCCTCACAGCTGCATTCGGATGCAAACATAAAGTCACATGAAGGCCCGTTTTTCTGCAAAGTCCAGGATGTTGACTTGAAGTCTGTTTAAAGGATGTTCATCCTTGTTTGTTTTTGTCACTTCATGATGTGTTTAACCTCCCCGCTGTCTTGTTGTTTCAAACACGCTTCAATGAGAGATTAAATTACAGAAGAGGACACGTTTGTTCATCTAAATAGACATTCTTATATGCTTGAATCTGCTTAAAGTTCAAGCTGACAGAATGTTTCGTTCCTGCTCACTTTCAGATGATGGTAGGCTAACAGTAAAATTCAGGGTTTAGGCGTTAAGTTTGGGAAAGTTGCGATGAGGTAAGCTGAGACGTGCAGGTGTGTGTTTGTGTGGTTTGCCCTCAGGGTGATAATAAAGCATGATATGGGTATTTGTGGTGTATTTGCAAAGGGCAGCCCCTCGTATGCTTTTTGTCTGAGTGTTTTGTCCTTGTGAGCTCTCCTCCTCTCTGATGTACAACAAAACTTGAATCCAAAAGGAAGTTGGTGGAGTTTTTAAAAAAACATGGAAACGCCTGAAGATATGGCAAAATGCTTCTTCGTAGATATTTTTGTTAGCTTTTTTAAACTAAAATTCTTCTTTGCGTACCTTTTTTATTTTTGCAGCTTTAAATAAATCAACTGAAAATCTTTTCAGATAATCTAAAACTGAAGTGATCTGATATGGTAAACTCTCTGACCGTGTAAGACCCATTTTTTGACAAGGTCTGTTTACACATGAGAACCTGTTCTAAGTAAAAGCATGTGGACAAAATGAGCTTGTCATTAATGTAGTTGACCAGAAGAGGGCAGAATAGAGCGCTGAGGAGTGGATTTCAGGAAAGTTTGGATCTATTTTTAATTTAAAATAATTTAAATGAAGGTTTTAAGAGGTGTAAGGTTTTAACGTTTTAATTAAAGTTTAGAAAGTAAACCTTTTAAAGGGCTACCACCAATTAATAATTTAAAAAAAGCATTTCCATCAAAACAAAAAGCCATTTAATGTTTCTTTAAATGAGTTTAAATTTATTGACCGTGTCAATAAAAATGAAAGGTGAACAAAAAATGCAAAAAAAAACTGTACATAAGTAAAAAAAAATAATAATTTCAAATAATATATTAATCCTGAAGGACAATCAGATGCTGTACTGATATTAAAAGATTTTTTCAAACAAGTTGTTGTAGCTGTAGGCAGTAAAGTTCTCTTGTAACGGCCTGTCCTACAGCGGATCTGGAAAAGCTTGACTAAAGAACTTCTCTCTCTCTGTAGACGTCACGTCATCAATGTCTTCTGTTTTTAAAACCTTTCTCCACAGATCTTCATCTCTGTCAACTGTCTGAGCACTGACTTCTCCTCTCAGAAAGGGGTGAAGGGTCTTCCTCTGAACCTACAGATTGACACATACAGCTACAACAACCGCAGCAACAAGCCCATCCACCGCGCCTACTGCCAGATCAAAGTCTTCTGCGACAAAGGAGCCGAGAGGAAGATTCGAGACGAGGAGAGGAAGCAGTCCCGTCGGAAAGGAAAGGTCCCAGACCTCAACCAGGGTCTGAATTGTGAGTCATGTTTTTACATTAAAACTGATTTCCACCTGCTCAGAAATTCATCAAATGCCTTTAAAGTGACTATAGGCATGACTGTTGGTGAAGAAATTATATTTGTTTTGTTTGTCAAAACAAATAGGAGAATCTTTCTTTATTAAAATGGTTTATAAAATCATTTATGTCATTTAAAAGTTAATTATTGTTACAATATTGCTCATTAAAACCCACATTTCAATTTCTTTTCCAATTAAAGTATTACATTATACCATTAAAAGATCATTTCTTACACACAAATGACATGTTGTAGCCTGTAGAATAATGCAGTTGTGGAGAGATTTAGAAAGCGAGCTGCCACCAGAAGAATCCTGGACAGAGACTGCAACTTTCACTTTTCTTTTTTTAAGAACCCCTTCTAAACCAGAGACATCAGTGTCATCTTAGGAAAAGGGGAGGGTCCAAATCTCCCTTCTGGATAAAGGGAGGTCTTGCTGATTTTTTGGAAACCATGGTCCCAGAATATGTTTTTGAAGTTGGTGAAAGTTTTTGGAGCTGTGTCCTTTGCTTCTGTTGGTATAACGATACCGATACCACCATTTTAGTGCGGTATCATTGCCCTGCCTGATAGTGGTATCGGTATTGGTGCAATACTAGTTCTGAGTTCGAGACCCACTCCCAGAGACTGTCACACTGTCTCTCTGAGCAAAGACCCTTAACCCCACACTGCTCCCTCGGCAGCCACCGGATACAGCCCACTGTTCCCCAAGGGGATGTGTTAAATGCAGAGGTAAATTTCTCCAATGTGTGATCAATAAAGTTTAATTATTTATTAGACTTAGACAAGTTTTGTCGTTTCTTTTATACACAGAGTCTATACAAAACTAATTTTTACAGCCTTTTCAGACAGTAAATGAACATTTTTCCATAAAGTGCAGCAGTGATCAAATGTAAACAGTGTGGGAGAAAAAAAACGCATTGATATTATTATTATTATTATTATTATTATTATTATTATTATTATAAAAGATGACAAATAACATCTGATACCATCTGAATACCATCTTTATTAAAGAATGGGTTTTACACCTTGGTGGTAAAACAGTTAAATTAGCTTTAAGTCAGGATGCATTGATACAATAATTCATGCATGTCATTCATATAATAAAATATACTTTTTAGCATGTCTACATTGTATGTTTTATTTTATTTGTTTTGATGCTTTCACTGTTGGTAATTTTCCTTCCACTTAATTTATTATTGATATGCTTGGATCCAGCGTCCTGAGCAGACAGCTCTTTAACAAATGACCATTTATTTTTCATTTTACTGAGGACTTATTAATCATTGACCAATAACTCTCAGACAACTTCAAGTAAAAAATGTTTCAGTGTTTACATCATATTTTATTTTATTTATTATTTTTTTTATTGGTCTGATGTAATATTTCAATTTTTATAGATAAAGAAAAATTTTGATTTATACTATTTGTTAGCAGCAATTAAGAGAAATGAAAGGAGTAAATGCTTGAGGCAAATCTGATTCTAATTTATTTTTACATGTAAGTTTACCATCTGCTGACATTTTATTCGATAACTACATATTTATTTGTAACTGAATTAATTGAAATGGATCCATATGGGTTTTCTGTATTTTATATTTTACTACATTTTTTTAATTAACAAGAATTATCGTTGAATTAAAAAAAAAAATAGTTTACAGCTGTCTTGTAAGCTGACCACAGTGGCCAGCAGGTGGTGCTGTAGGTTTGCAAGCTTATTAAAACTTCAATCAGTAGAGCAATGTAGTATGAAAGCAGTAAAATATGACATGATAATATAAATACCACACCATAATAAAGATTGAAATAAAAAAATTAAAAATGGATTTCCTAACAAGACACTTTACAGACCTTTGGTGCCAATTTTATTACTTATGTTTCTAAACAAAATTGCCAGTTTTTGGCATATTACTGCTAAAATTAAAAGCATTGTTCTGACTTTTAATGGAGAAAATCTTTTGCCTTTTCCTTTCAGTTCCTGATGTGAAAGTTCCCCTCCTTCAGAAAAGAAATGATGTGACCATCTTCAAGACCATGGGGGACCTTGAGACCCAACCTGTCCTGTTCATTCCCGACATCCACTTCTCCACCTTCCAGCGCCACGTGAGTGCCCCATCTATACTCCTGTTTCAATCAACGCTAAAAGAACCCGCCTTTTTATGTTATTGCCGAACATAAGCACGATTCTGGTGGTCCATAAACAGTTTGTTTTTCCGCCTCCATCCGTCCCATCTGCCAGCTGGGTCGAGGTGACCTGCCTGCACACTTCTTGGCAGGAACGCAGAGTTCTGCTTTCCAGCTCTGATAGGAGGCCTACACGATAATGGCAGAGTTTCAGATTGCTTATTCACAAGATGAATCATTCACCGGTGACTCAAAAAAAAAAAAAAAAATCAGAAGTGAAGCATAAAGTTCCCGTTCAAGCGTCTTAAAACTGTGAGTTCATACGCTCGTGGCAAAGAGAACAAACACTCTTAAAGGCGAAGGGAGCAGTGCAGCTCTCTTATTGATTTGCAAACACTGCATGTTGGAACATGTTATCCAGAAAAAAGGAACAAAAGCCTGATGTTCAGTTCTGAGAAGCTGTGGGCATGATTGAGGGTTTTATCAGCTTTTAACAAGGTGCAACAGCACGACTTTTCTGCGTGCATGGACTCTGAGCTTTGCTTCCAGTCGGCTGAAAGAACTCTTCATGCAGCACGTACAGCATGATACAAAAAATGGGCTTGGATGTGAGAAGACACACCTGACCTGCAGTTTTGCTTTTCTTGCGATGCTTGAAGAGCAGCAGATTTCTAATAGCTTTTTTCTCTCAACTTCACTTATTACCCATTTTGACCACAAGCCGCACAGTGGTGCAGTTGATAAGAGTGTTGTATTGCAACAGAAGGGTTCTGGTATTAAATCTAGACCTGAGCTCCACATGTTCTGCCCATGTATCCATTGTCTCTCTTTCTGGGTACTCCTACTCTTACTACTTTTACTACTTTTTGCTTAGAAAACATTAGAATAACAAGGTTCACATAAATTACTTACTTTTAAGAAAGTTAACCTTGTTCCAAATCACTTTTTTTCTTTACCTTTGTCGTCTTCACTTCATATTAATGACATGAGAAGCATTAGTTTGTTTGGTTTGTTTCTGATCATCATGAAGGAGAACTTAACAGACATTGACCAAACATTGAGTCCGATAAGAGGAGTTCACTGTCTTTACTCCCAGAATAGAAATTTCTTATCAGCAGTGCCATCGATCGATACAGAGAGAGAGAGAAGGAGACTCAAATTATTCATCTCTTATCCTGCAGGTTTCTGTGAACAAAAAGATTACCTTTTACCATTTTTTTGCTTTTTTTCACACATTTTATAAGATGGAAATGGTGGTTAACAATATCAGACATGGCCGCCTTTTTGTAGCTGTCATGCTACGACAACAGAAATCTATGCTTTTTATTGCCATCTCATGTGATCGACCACTAAGTGAAGCAGGTGGAAAATGGTGTCTGGTTTTACAAATCTTTCCCATTAAAAAATAGGTGTTTGTGGTGTGCATCGGCATCCTTCCACTGAGTGAAACTTTGTAGTAAGTTTCAGTGGAGTCCCAGCTGCAGGTCTTTTTTTGGTGTGTCTCCATCACCTTTGTAAAATTGGCAGTCAGTTCAGATTCACAGTATCTTTGAAAATCAAACACTTTTTATATATATATATATATATATATTTTTTTTTTTTTGAATAAGTGCTCTGTTAGCTAAGTACTACTTGTAAAGCCTGAAATTGTCCCGGTATCATTGTGAGGATCTTGGCCCAATCCAGTCCCAGCAGCTTTTCTATCTTTGCTGCTGATGGTGATAAAGAGTAAATTGGTAAACACAGGATTCCGGTGTTTGCTTTTCCCTTTGACCAAAGTGACTGATTTAGCTGCATCCATGAAGACTTACAACAATGGTGTTTGCACAACTAAAAGCACATATAAAACGATCATTATGAAAGGCATTTTAGTCAAGATTTTAAATAATTGCATGTTTCTTTGCTTCTTTCTCCAGACTTTCCCTGCAGAGGAGGGAGAAGATGGGTAGGTTTTCCTTTTTTTAAACTTGATTTAGTGTTGAACTCTGGCCTTTTTTGAACCTTTACCCAGTAAAACTAGTGCAGTAATGAGTTTTCTGTTTCTTGGAAAGGCTTGTAGGTTTCATATTACTCTGGTGCTTTTGTTGTATGTTTTTTTGAACTGTTTCTTTTATCCTTTAATCAGAGCTGTGTTGACTTTTTATTTCTATTTACCAATGCAGTTCTGGCATGAGGAGATTACCTTTTAGCGACGATGAGTTTGGGTCACCGCCGAACAAGATGGCACGAGTGGACGAGCCTAAGAAAGGTATAAATGTCTGTTTTCCTGTGATTTCTAACAGCGATGTTTTTCTCAGGCACTGGATGGTGAAACTGTTTGCACACGTAAAACTGTGTGTGCCTTTGCTCTCTCTACTCCTCTCCAACACACATGTACTCTCTGGGACATGTGTTTGTTCCAGATCTATTAAAGCACACACACATGCACAGACACAACCACTGGCCTGAGACCTTCAGTGACCCAACAAATATCCCCGATCACTGGGTGAACACACACCAGGAAGCAAGCTGATGCCCTTTACCCTACATCCCACAGCAGAGCACTCAGCAGCTCATAATGAGCATGCAGAGATTTATTAGACTCTCTGGGTGAATGTAGATTTTAAAACTAGATGTCTTTTAGTCTGTATTTTCAGTAACAAATGGGTATTATTATAAGAGTTCGGTTTTAAATTTGACCAAAGAGCTTCTAAAATAATACACTTGGTTCTGAATGAAAGGAAGATTCCTCCTGAAATGGGGGTCAAAAATGATTGAGGAGGTCTAAGGAGAAAACATCCTGTCAGACGTTTTCACGAGAAATCAAGGAGTTCGAATAACGGAAATTAACTTAAAAAGAAGTTTTCAAACAAACAGATTTCACAAAAAATAATAACAAATATGAATTTATTCCTTCAGATTATGATGTGCATTCAGCTTCAGAGGATTTTTTTACATCACATTTTTTTCCAAAAAAGTTAAAAAACAAACCACTGGAGTTTGTTTTCCCAGTTTGAAGTTTCGCTTCCCATCCAGAAAGCTTTTTTAGTTCCAAATATATTCAAACTTGGAAAAACAAAGTTCTGTGGTTTTTTTTTTTTTTTTACCTTTTTAACTTTTTTGGAATGACTATGACCTGGATGACAGAATCTTCGCCAGCATAATTTCACGTTTTATTAAATGAAAATAAATTTTGATATTTTTTCCTGCCTTATTTTATTATATTAATATTGATTTTGTTTTCTCCTTTTCTACGTCACAGTCTTGCTTTACGTTCGTAAGGAATCAGACGAGGTGTTCGATGCCCTCATGCTGAAGAATCCCACGCTGCAGGGCCTGGTGGAAGCTGTGAGTTCTTCTCAATGTGTCTGACATGCTCTGGACTTCATGTTCCTGTGTCATGTTACTGATGTAAAGTGTAAACAGAATAGCCAGAGGCCCAGCTCGACTCTCACGTACATCTGAGCTATCGCAACAGCGAGCTGAAAAGATGACGATGGTTAGAGAGAAGGAGTTTAAAGCCAAGAAAGAGAGGAGCAGTTGCTAGTTGGGAGGAGGAGCCAAAGAAATGTTGAAACAAAGTCTGCAAGGCAGTGATGTCATTTTAAATGTTATCAGTGTTAAAGGGGTCATGTGCAGAAAGTATGTAAAGTATTTGACTATGAAGGGTCCTCTGACAGGGTTAGCACAAAGGCTTCTTGTTCAAAAATTGCTTGTTTTAGTTTTTCTGCATTCATAAGGTCTAAAAACTACAAATCCCTACACATTTAAAGCCAAATGTCCATCCAAGACCCCACAGATTCAGAGTTTAAAGGGCCAGACTTAAAGAGGTCAAAGAAAGGTGTGGATTTAAATTGGGACGTATGTTTGAATAGAGCTCTAACATAGTTTCTCCTCAACTAGATTTCAGAGAAGTATGAGCTGCCTCTGGAGAAGATTGAAAAAGTCTACAAGAAGTGCAAGAAAGGGTAAGTGAATCCTTTGTAATTTCACTCAAACACTCATTTATATTTCATAATACTTTGCAAAAACTATCTTAAAATACGCAAAAAAATAAATCTTAAAATAAGTGTATTTAGCCTTAATTTGAGTAGGTAAATAATAGATGGAATAGATATTATGTATTTGAAATAAGAGACTGCCATTGTTATTCCTTATTTTAAATTTGAATCGTCTTATTCTTTTAGCAAAGTGTCTAAATACAAGACAAAATGCACTTATTTAAAGAAAAAAATACTTTCATAGATTCATATTTTTTTGCAGTGCTACTCATTTGCACAAACTTGAAGTGATTCATTTGCTGCTCTGTTTACACAGCAACAAAACTGAAATGCTTCCACCTAGAAATCCAATTTTCTTTTCTTTTTCCCATTTCCTTGTTTTTTAGGATTTTGGTCAACATGGATGACAACATCATCAAGCACTACTCCAATGAGGACACCTTTCAGATCACCATGGAGGAGCATGGTGGCGTGTACAAGCTAACTCTGACAGAGATCTGATTCCGACACAGAGATGGAAGATGTCTGTAGCCGTCAGGTTTACACTCCTGGCTTTGCAGGGTATATGGACTTAATCTGAAACATTAATAAAGTCCTTGTATAAGAAAAAGTCCTCAATTGGTACATCAAAGCCGGAGCATTTAAAGTATGACAATGATGGTTTAAAAAACATAAGTTATACTCGTCATTTGTTGAAAAAGTTTTATGTGCATAAAAAATATAACAATAAAGTATATATGTGCATTTGTATCTTATGAGAAGATGAGCTGCAGCTTGCATATGAGTGCCTAATTTTATTCGCAGAACAGTTTTGAAGCTGCTATACCTCAAGCTATGCAAGCAGCATCAAGTTTTTTTATTAAGAGCTTTTAAATTTGATTATAAAAAATATAAACATATTTCCTTTCCCTCCTTAAAGTCATAGCACTGATGACTGCAACCTGCAAAGTTGAAAACATCACATATAAGAATGTGTATTATTACTAAACAGTATGGCAGTATTTCTAATGTCATCAGTTCTTAGATTGCTGGAAATGTATTTTTTTAGGGTAGGATAATGTTTTCAAAGACGTTTTCATTAGATTAGTTTAAATAAGAGGATTTTTGTTAAGTATTACATAGTTTGTATTGATAAAAATGCAGAAAGTCCGTCTTCCTATATGTTTTGAAGTCTAGAAGTCGGTTGATATCTGGTATCGCTCTAGCATTCTTTACGGGCTTTCCTAACAGTGCAATAAAAATCAGGCTCAGGCAAATTCATATAAGAATAATCCTCTATTGCCATAAGATACATACTGAAATTTGTCTTTTTTTAATGGAAATATTGTAAATAATGTTTGGAAAAGGATTTGTTTAACCTCTTTTTTATATCTCAGTACTTATTGTGTATATATTTATTAAGAAAAAGGGTGTGGGTTCTTCATATATAACTGATTTTTCTAAAGCTTCTTTAATTATTGATGAACTTTTTGTATGACTTTACACCAGTACTCCATGTCAGGGTGTGACAGCGTCAAATAAAAGCTCAGCACTGGCCTTCACTTGTAAACTCTGAGTCTCATTCACTCTGATTATGTTTTTTTGTTTTACAAAAATGCAAAATATAGTTAAATTAAAATGTCCGTAACAGCAGCTGTTGGATTCAACTTGTTACTCATAAAAAAAATTGTGAAGAACCTGTGGTGAAAAATTCTAAAAAAGCATCAGATCATTTCAGTCTTCAGCATGAAATGACATAGACAATATTGCAGAAGTGATAAATTGCTGAACGGTCATCTTTCAGCGTTAGCATTCATTAGAAACACCATTAGCTCAGGAATAGGTGAGACGCTACTGACTGCACCGTCCCATAGGCTAAATGACACAGCAATTTAACAGAAACTTACTAAAGCGTGGAAAAACTACTGCGGTATTGAGCAATAATATTTGGCTTTAAGATGTTACCGTAGCACATATAGAATGAAACTGTTGCTTTAGAAAACTGAAAACATTTTGCAGGATGCACTGAGAAGTCCAAGTTTTTGTGACATGAAGAGGTAAACCCTCAATAAGCTGAACCCAGGGTGCATAAAGTGAAACCTTATGTTAATAATTGACAAAGTAGCATTCTCAGAAATTTTAAGAGACAGTTATTGTTCTCTTTGATTGTCTACAGGAATGTTATTAAAGCTTAGACCTTAATTAAACTTCTTTACATGCTGAAAACATCTGTACAACCTGTTTCCCCTGAGCTATTATCCAACAAACGTAACGACTATGGCAGAAAAACCAAAGAGGAAAATCTGTAAAAATACTATATCACCTCTAACAGATACTTTTATCTTAAACGTTGGTGACAGTTAATCATGGGTAACTCCAAATTTAGCTGTGATCAAGCATGTCTTTAGAGATTATTTCAATGTCATTAGTCAGATTCAGGTCAGATTAGTGTCAGAATGTTAAAATTAAGAAAGCTCTTAATAAGAACTTATCTGACAACATGAAGTACGTTTTTTTAAAAAATCTGGTCAAGAAAGACATGCTGTGATAAAAACAAATTTCAGAACAGAAACAAAGCCAGAATCTTTTAGTCTTGTGTTGCAAAGAAGTTCTCAGGCTTTTGGACTCCAATAAACCACAATGAGAACTGTTGTCCATAAATGGAGAAAACATGGAATAGTGGTGAACCTCTCAGGGGTGGCCAGATTAGAAAAATCCCCTCATAATACAATGATGACTCATCCAGGAGGTCACAATACAACTCAGAACTGTATCTGAACAGCTACAGACCCCCTTGTCTCCTTTAGGGTGGGTGTTTAACATTCAACAATAGAAATAAAGACTCCATCAGGGACTAGAGGTTAGAAACAGGAAAGACTACAAATGGAACAAAAGATTTTTTTGATATTTTCAAGCAAGATAAACATATTCAGTAAACTGACCCTACAGCAGGAACATTTTTGTAGGCTACGTGTCTGGTCACATCTGGGGTTAATTTTTTTCTTCAGGACCATTGTAGCTGACTTTAATTGATGGGTCTATAGATTGTTCTCTCCATTTAAAAAAGTAAATACTGTCAGTTTAATTGTGTTTTATGAGAAAAATGAACACAACATCAGGTCCACTTCTGAATGACTCTAAGTAGAGTTTGCCCTAGTCAAAGTGAGAACAAAATATGAAGCAAAAGCAGGCGACGGGGGCAGAATGTGGAGAAAACAGGTTTGGTAAGGGACCACAGATAAGGGATCCAGATTGTGAATAGTGAGAAATCAGGAATGTTCAATACTAAAGCCGGTTAGGAACAACACAAATCAGAAGAGCTAAGCCAGAAGAGGAACAGCTGGGGCAGAGTAAAGGCATAAAAGCTTAAAGCTACAGTGTGTAATTTTCAGCGACATCTAACGTCCAGACTGCAGACCGCAGCAACATGAACATCTCCCCCCCCCCCACCGCTTCTCCCCCCAACAGTACGGCGAGCGTTACGGGACAAAATGTCTTCCACGACGTCCGCATCACCTACCTCCTCAAGTGATGAGGTTTGTTTACATAGATAATTTTACAGATAGTATTTCATTAGTCTGTGTAGGGTATAGATTTCATGTAGACTTAAACAACTTGCCGTAGTTACTTTCGAGCGTAATGGGCGATCTCGCAATCGCTAGTTTGTTGGCCCTGCGCTGCCGTAGCGCAAAGATGTCTGCCTCCATGGCTGCGAGACCCGCTCCTATGTAATTATAAATAACGAATTCTAAGGCAACGCAAATATTAAGGTTAAGAGGCTGAGCTCGTAGATGATGATAAATAACATAGTTATGTATAATATATTACATTTCTGACTGTATATCCCTGTAATTATTACACACTGTAGCTTTAAGGAGAGTAACTAATTAACCAAAATAGAGCTAAACACTATTTGCCTTGATATGGTTTACCAAAACTTAAAAAAAAACATATAATTGAGGCCTCAAAAATAGTTATTTAAGGCATGTAGAAACCTAAAAATTTATGGCAAAGTTATTTTAAAATTGCTGTTTACCAATACATGTTATTTATATATATAAAATTGAAAAAAAAATCTTTCTTTTTCTTTTTTTTTCTTCAAAATAGATTAAAAAAACTTCTGGCAACTCTTTTTAATCCAATCAAAATGATAACAATTATTTATTTGGAAGATAGTAGGAATATCCTTTATTGTATGTGCGGGTTTACCAGCAGCAAAGTGACGAACAGATGAAAGCATAAAATTAGAGACAATTGTATATTGTGTAAGAAACAAAAAAGGTAAGAAATTGTACAAGAGCGAATTTACAAGATGAGAACAATACTGTACAGTTACAAATATCATACTCAGATTAGATGGAATGTGCAACTGAGTAATATATTGGAAGTTCATAAAAAATGCTGCCTCAAGGCATTTCACAAAAAGGAAAATCGGGTTTATAACACACCAAACTAAAAGCCTAAGATCGGTGCTGCATCAGTCACAGCAGATTATAACATCCTGACTAACTGAGCGTTATTGTGTGGTACTGGGATTGATTCTGGATACCATGCACACGCTCTCCTCTAGCAATGACTTTATTACCTCTATCTAGCCTACCATCAATGCTTATAGACCTGAAAAGAAAATATTTAGGCATGGGGGGAAACATGCAAAGTATCTGTTACTTCTCTTACACTTGTTTGATAATTATATCAGTCAAAGATTAATTTTACTTGCAACCAACCAACATACTTGATTCTGAAATCTGATTTGAATTTCAAACACCCAGGTATTACATACAGCCATAAACCTAAACACCAACACTGTTTTATTGATCAAGTATAGAGGATAAAATGTAATCAGGTTACAGTTTAACTAACTCTCTCCATCAACGTTACCAAGCAGTTGTGCTTCTTTGTCTGATTGCAATTTTTTACTCTCATTTCAGGTTTTACATAACAATTTAGTTATCATTGGTGAATGTTGTGCACTTGAATGCTTTAGAGTTGACCTTTTACCTACAAAACCTGCTTTGTCACTAACACTTTAGTATCTCATTGCAAAACCACATGTCAGGCCAAAACAACCTCTTATTCAAGTGCCATCTAGAGGTTTACATTTCTTTAGACATATGTAACCTCTACAGTTATTAGCACAAATCAAGGTTAGACAGAATGCTTGCGAGGACGTGGTAACATCCTTATAAATATTTGCATTTAACTAATTTAATGAAAATAAATAAAAATGAAGTCCTAAAGCTTTACTCGAAACTAATTAGCTTAGCATAGGGTATGATGCTAGACACTGTCCAGTGGGCCTCAGTCCTGGTTGACTCAGTCAGGGTTTCTGTAATTGACAAAGGCTTTTCTTACTTGTATTCAGCTCCCAAGTTTTGCACCCAAACTGTTTCATTCAGGTCTGATTATTCAAAAGCTCACTTTTAAGTAGCATGGTGCTTAAAAATTAAGATTTCTCTGTACCATGGGCTTAACCTACAATTTGTATAGTAATCATTTACATATACATATTGTAATAGGTACAACAAGAAAGTATAATTTGGACTACCTCAGTTAATATTTTCTCCTTGAGCCAATTACAATATTTACATGTAAATGATTACGGTACAAATTGTAGATTAAGCCCATGCTATTTTTTTGTGTATCAACAAATGCCGTAACAGTTTTAAATGTCACATTAAAGAGAGTACTGTCATAATCTTGGCGCTGATGACTGGCTTAAAGGAGAAGTTCGGTTTTTTACACTTTAAGCCCATTTTCTGTAGTGTCCAGGATGAAATCGAATGAAGGACACCAAAATTTTGACAATTGGTCCTGTCTCTGCTTTTTGGCTCATTTAGAATCATCCCCTGGCTGCTTTAGAATGGCTTGCATAGAGACAGGACCAATTGTCAAAATTTTG